TAGTTTTCGGCCGGTTCGAGGTGAGTAATGGTTGTATGTGATTGCCTGAGGGTTCGAAACCCCAGTAATTCACCTTGTGATGCTATTGTAAGGCTAGACACGCACTCCAGGGTAGTGCGGGGTCGGAGGTGATGTGAATTGTGACTCGGTTCCAATCCGAGAGACTATATGTTGCTGTGAATTAACTGTGTAGTATTATCATACTGTGTTAGCTGGGCTTGATGCCATGTTTGGGGCCTTGTGCCGACTTATGAAATCCTTCAGGGATTGATATGGGCTTTACGCCGTGTTTGGGGCCTTGTGCCGAATTGCAGAATCCTTCAGGGATCTCTGGACTGTATTAGCATGACTTACGAATATTAATGAAAGAAAAAGGGTTTCTAGTCAATAAATGAAATGAAAGATGTCATAAATGAATTAATTGACTGGCATGTTTGCATTGCACCGGATCGGGCTGCACGTTCCGCAGTATTGGATCGGACTGCACGTTCCGCAGTATCGGATTGGACTGCACGTTCCGCAGTATTGTGCGCTTGGGCCGTAGGAGCCCCTCCGGAGTCTGAACACCCCTAGTGAGCGCGGGTACCCATTTGGATCGGGCCGCACGTGCCGTGGCAGTCATGCATTGCATTGCATTGCATCATTTGCATCCTTTATTTCTTGCTGCATTGCATGGTTAAGTTGCTGATATTGACAGGAGCAGGTATATGGATATTTAGTCTTGCTAGGTGCATTACTTGGTTTTCTTGCTTTCGGTCTTTTACATACTTGCATTACTTACTGAGTTGGTAGACTCACCCCCTACTCCCTGCACCTTGTGTGCAGATTCAGGTACCGCGGAGCCGTGTCGGAGTTGATTCGTTCCAGAGTTGCTCCTCCTGAGTGCTGAGGTAGCTGCTGTCTCCCGCAGAACCCAGTCTCTCTACTCTATCTTGGTTTTTTTGTCATTTCTGTTTTAGACAGTGTACCTTCTCTTTTATCACTGTATTCAGATCTTATAGAGGCTCTGTGCTTGTGATCCCGTTGTTTTCTGGGGAATTGTGGTTATATTCTGTGATTTTGGGCTTCAGTTGGCCCTATTTATGGCAAATATTGTTTCAGTTACCGTTGTTGTTGTATTCTGGGCTATTATGCCGTCGTTGGATTGGAATGGTCAGGCTTGCCCAGCCTTGCGGCAGGGCGCCATCATGACCTGGGATTTGGGGTCGTGACAAGTTGGTATCAGAGCCTAGGTTGCTAGGCCTCACAAGCTATGAGCCGGGTCAGTAGAGTCTTGTGGATCGGTACGTAGACGTCCGTATCATATCCACGGGAGGCTACAGAACCTTAGGAAAACACTTCACTTCTTTGAAATTCTTATCGTGCGACGTTGTTGAATTGAGAACTGAAACTTCTTATCCTATTCTCTCGCAGATGGCGAGAACTCGTACATNAAAAACTATCAATGATATTATAAAAGAGGGGTATGATATTGAGAAAAAGTCAGTAATGTGGAACACATAAAACTGAAAAAAATTCAGTCCGTACTATATTTCCATTTTCCCGATAATCGATTAAAAAAAAGATGTTTTATATGTAATGGTGAACCTGGTTTATAGAGACTCCATGCTCGAGCTATAAGAATTCAGTTGAGTGGATAAGTGTGATTCGAGTGACGGACTAAGTTTTGCATAATACACTATAACTGAATCCATAATTTGTAACAATAGATTCATGGTATCACCAAGTAACAATATGGTTAAAAACAACATGACTTCTCAAACTCGATGAAAGTGAATATGGAGTAAATCGATTTAAAAATCATACCTTTGTTATGGTGTAAAATTTCGAGAGAAGAAGGTATAGAACACTGCCAGAAATAAAAAGTACCAAGTTTGATTGTGTTTATCAGATTCTATATGTTGGTGGTGGTGTAGCGTCGAACTCTGTAAAAGATTGTAGAATATCCTGCGATGATAATAATGTGCAAGCGGGAAAGATTTATGGATGGAGAAGTTATGGAAATTGTTGGAAAGTTTAGATGGTTGTAAAGTAGTGGCAGAACATGGGAGTTAATGGGGAGGTTTGGGACACAGTTATTTTTTTCCTAATTTGTAGCATTTGATTCCAGGTTAAGCGATGGTTACTGTTAGATTTTAAGGAGGTAAACAAAACGGTAAAAGAAAAACAAATTTGACACAGATGCAGTTAAAGAGATTGATTGCGAGGGGGAGAAAAACGTATATGTTCTGAAAATCCCACACGCTAAAGCACTCAAGCAATAAAGAGTAGATGGGTGATTGCAAGAATAGATCAGAATAACAAAAATAGATCGCTTATGCAGATTGTTTTAACCTCTGCTCGTCAAACTACATATCATATCCAAACAAATATCATAATATGATAAACTTCATGACGTATAACTAATAAATTAAGTATTAAAATCAAATATGTTGTTCATAACAGTCGAATTAATTTTTAAACTTATCAAACTGTGTTTGTTTTGTACAACTTTTACATATCCAATTACTTTAGCTGATATACTTATATTCCAAATATATTAAGCATAATGCTGGGAAGATCTTGCTTTCAAAGCTTGTTCGACGACTTTTGCCGCAAAACATATACGAAGGTTGCTTGACATCTTTGCGATATCAATAAACTCCTTATCTTCATTAACGACTTACAAATGTAAGAATAAATACACGTCGATCAGTTTATGACATAGAAATGATAGAGCTTTATTTACACAGACTGTAAATCTTAGTTCCATATAAATGTGAATTCAATTTTTCCTATATCACTGAAGTACAATTAGATATTTGTTGTTTACGTATAAGAAAGAAAAAGTGATCAAGAATTTAGATTCATTAGAGACGTACAAATTTAAAATCATACAATATAAGTTTATTTCGACATTGAAATATACACACTGTTCTATCGAACATAATAGTTTCCTTTGACTGACATTGGGTCATAATAGTTAACTGTGATGCTTAGTAAGTGCTGCTACAGCTGCTGTATTGTAACTCAAATGATTTGAAATGAACAGCCAAAATTATCCTCCACAGGAGCTGAATATTTCGGAAACATCACAGTTATCCCATTTCTAAGCTATACCAACAATGAAGTTTCTCCAACCTGTTAGTTTGATCCTTTATGAGTAAATATGCCAATTCTGTTGTGTCCATCTGAGCATTCTAAATCGACCTGTTTCACAAAAGATCAAACTAACTTGCTGAGCTTACTGTTTGCGAGTATGGTTCGTCAGTCCTTACCCTTTCTCAGCAGCATTCAAACTGAATGAACTTATGGTTTAAGTTATATATGCAATATAACCTCTTACAACAGGTTATCTATATTTTTTTGGAGGTGGGGTGGTGGGTTGATCATGTTTTTTATAAATACTTACCTCTTTTAATAAGTAATCTAACCTGACAGTGTAAATATTATAAGCTGTTAATGCACACAACTTAAGTACATAAACTAACGACAGTTGGTGGTCATCTTACGACTTACTCGCATTGTGACTGCCTCTCCAGATGTGCCATCAACGGCTCCAACAACTGTGACATGAAAAAAATTGTAAAAAATCCTGAACATTCTTTACATGTCCCAAATTGCTGGATATAGCTTAATAGCTTATCCAGAAAGAAATACATATGGTCTAAGGATCTATTTTGACAAATTGTATAAGGAGTTATCATCTATCAACTATGGAAACTGCAATGGGTTCCTGGTCATGAAGTCTTCAGAGGTCATATTTGGGCTAAAAAGCATACCCTTCATCCTCGTAATCTATGTCAAATTGGAACTCCTCCTCATTAACGTCAGCCTTTGGAGATAAAATCTCTCTCGCAGCAATCAACTTTCTTGCCTCTAAACAAAATACTTCAAGCTCGTTGGGTTTCTCCTCCCCACGACAAAACTCCCTGCTCATCATCTCACCAATCTCTGCAAGGCAGAGCCCATAAGCAGCAGCTTCCTTGAGGAAAATGGTGGACAGGACCAAGACACAAAGGCAAGCATAGCGAATCATAGCGAGCTCAATTTTCTGCATTGCAAGACGTTGCAACACATAAGCATCATGTTAATTGAAGAAAATCCTTCAGGATTATTGCATGATAACTTAGAAAGTTTGGTTTTCTAGTACAAAAACATACGCAAAAGTTTAGCCAAACTTTACAAAGAAAAAAGATGTATGATAGAGCCCTGATTGAAATATGAGCCAGAAATTGGCTCAGGGGCCTCCTAGGAAACATGGTGAATAGTTTTATTTTTTTTGTGTTGTGGCTATTTTTGCAAATGAAAAGAACAACCTTTAACATAATTAGCTTCCTACATATATGTTCTTAACATAAGTAGATTCAGTACATATATTGAAACTTCCTTCCAATATTCTTCTTATGGATTTGTTATGAACCTTCAGATATAGCCTACAAATTTACAATATACAAAACAAAAAATCTTACCTCAAATAATATCATGCATTTAGGCACATGTGAAACTGAAATAACATTGTTAGAGGATGGATTTGTGCATTTAAAGGAAAAATGTGAGAATTGAAGTCATCAGCTGCTCCTATTGATGATGCGTTATTAGCGGATCTACAATTCTTGTCATATGTCTTCAAAGAGTAGATATGCCCCATAAGACCTGCATTTGAAATTAAAAATGATTCAACCACAACTTACGATATAATGGTAGCAGTTAGGGTCTTCAACACAATTGCTGCAACAGAATTCGGATGACACCTATGGCTCGTCAACTTTAACGCCTCGAACGAACTTCATTTACAAACTAAAATACCATATTAACAGTTGAAGAAAACAAAAATAAATTATACGTTTTTGCTTCTGAAAACAGAGAAAATTTGATAACGCCCAACTCAAGTTGTCAAAGGAAAATAGTATTTTTCTGTTGCATTTCAAGATGTGTCTAAAGTTCTTATATTTATGATGTGAGTTCAGCTTCTTTTAATCCGTTCAACAATCAAATGTATAGACAATGAGTTTGGGTCTTGTATGAATAAATTGGAATACGATGATTTTTTTTGTTAAGTGTTAAAAATTGTTGATAATAGGAGAATTATTTCCAATTATATGATTCTTTAAAAAAAAAAGGTGTATTTGTTGCTGAATGATTCCATTATTTGTGTCAAACAGTAATATATTATTATACATATTTATAATATCATCATATAGGAATATACAGATATAACATCTATTTTGTTTTTTTTTTGGCATCGGATTCATTTTTTTTTTGTTTTTTCTTGGAACTTCACACACTCACATATAGACATTGTTCTGATTCTCTTTGAATCCTCTATAGAAGTTTAGTTTATAACAAACTTGTATATTTTTGAAAATATATATAGAAAGATAAGAGAGACAGAAACAGAAAAATAAGAAAAAGTGTCGGCAAGTTGGAGTTGAAATGAGAGGAAAAAAATATTGGAAGGGTGTGAAGAATGTTTGCTGGTTGTTCTTCAACATTGTTGTCACCTAGGCATGGATTGAGGAGTGCAGCATATGCACAATTTCAAGATTCTAAGTTTTCCTTCAATAAGCACACAAAGATTGGATTTGGCATGTAGTTTTTGTAGAAAAGACAACCCAAGGTCCCAATATATTAGGCCAATAGGCAGCCTTTCAGTTGATAAGTATATTGAAACCAAGAACATTAGTTTCTCTTTTAAGCAGAACATTCGTCTACCGCCATCCCTGACTACTGTTCACACATCATCATATGTAGACGGTAGGAGAGAAAGGAAAGATCAATTTTTGGAAAAGGGTAGGAGTTTGAAGAGGTATGCCGATCAAGGATGTTTTGATGATGAAAACTGCATGAGTAGAGGAACTAAGAGGAAAAAGGGTAATACAAAATGAATTGATTGCTCAGAAGAAGTATAAGGCTATGGTCTGAGTTTGGGACAATTGAGTGGTGGCAATTTCTGGTTAGAATCAAGTTAAAACGTGTCGCAATCAGTTCAAGGAGCAACACTATTCTTATTTGATTTCAGTTGGTCTATGATGAACAACTGAAATTTGGTTGCCTATGTTACTCGATAGATAGGACAGACAACGGGTAGGAGCTGTAAATGTACGATATAGTCTAGTGCACAAGAGGAAGAAAAGAAGATAACAAAACAGGTATAAATGGCAACAGACGATGAGCAGATGTTTTTGATAACTGTAGTAGCAATGTGTTAATGTCGTTTTATCCTTACTTTGATTCTACTGTTTGTTGGTAATTACCTTTGATATATAAAATGTTTTATACATCCTCAAGTCTTTTGGATAATAACTACCTAAATAAAATTTGAAGATTTTTAAGAAAACGTCATGACAAAAGTGTTAGAGGCTATTGGTTGTATAAAAATTATTCGACAAACAGAAAATAATTTGATATTATATGCTGATATCAATTAAAAGTGTATATGTTGCATGGTATGAAAGTTATGATTAGTCAATGGTATATGTGAAGCAGTAATTGTCGACCATCTGCTCCAAATATGGATATCATGATATAATAGGAAGGACGAAACAACTAATAAACAAATATAATTGTAAGAGGCATGAAAACTCTATAACATGTAAATACAATGGATTAGATATGAGCATAGTTTTAACACTATAAATACGTAAGTTACTATTAGGAAACAAAAGAAATATACATTTAAATCCATATATGAGTATCGCATGCCAATCAAAGGGTTAATTTGAGGTATGAAATCTAAATAATAATAAGATATTGTATATAGAGGTAGAAAGTTACGTTTAAATTGAACTGACCTGCATAGTCTAGGAAGCTAAATGATATGGCTGCTTTTGAAGTTTGTTTAGCCAGATAATGGACTCGTAATAACTTTAACAACAACAACTGTCAAGAACAACAATTTATTAGATGGAAAATTATGAATGTGTTTATAAACAAATGGAGAAAACCAAAAAAAAAAAACATATACTGCCAGGTAACCATAAATAAATAAAGTAAAGTATTGTTTGTAAAGATTATTAACAATATGGTTTTCGAAAGGGCCGATGCATGAGACAAAAATTTTGGCAAAAAAATATCATTTTACCTTTTATTCTCCACGTAAATTACGGAAAACCTCCTTGTAAACCACATTTATTGCTTCATTTGAAATTTCACCATCGTCATCATAAACCAAAATCTTTAATCCTTTTCTTGTTGTAACCCGGGATAGAGCAACGTAAAGCTGACCATGTGTGAAAACTGGTTTTTTCAAATATAACCCAACCTGCGATAAAGATTCTCCTTGACTTTTGTTTATCGTCATTGCAAATGATACAACGATTGGGAATTGTCTCCTCTGGAACTTGAAAGGTATTCTTGCATCAGATGGAGTTAATGACATTCTTGGAATGAAGACCTTTTGTCCAGTCATATTTCCCGATAAAATTTTAGCTTCAATAACCCGATTTCCCAGTCTAGTGATGATTAATCTTGTTCCATTACATAGCCCTGAAGATGAGTCTATATTTCTCAATAACATCACTGGAACACCCACTTTCAAAGTGATAACATGATTTGGAATTCCAGAACATTTAATAGTGTTTAAAAATTCAGGCGTATGTACGTGTTCCAAACCTGTAAATTTGTCTTCTGACATGCAAATTGTATCGGAACTAAAAAATAATTTTGGTTGACTATTGTTTAAAGAAACCATGTATTCATTTACAGATTCAACCATATCAAGAGTGGGAGCAAGAATTCCTCTTTGCTGCAGGTATGTTATATCACTGCAATGACTTAAAAAATCCGGATATGTACTTTCCACTATCGCACAAATTGGATCATCACAATTGCTTATTATAAGATCATCAGGGATGTGAACTTTATCGATACCATCAATAGAATTGCCAACCATGCCATCACCTATTGCTAAAATCCAATCAGAAAATTTTCTGAGATCATTCAAATGTGAATCCAACTGATTACCTTCCAACCTCATATTTTTTGATAGCGTTAACACTTGACAATTATTCCACAAATATGAAGAATTAAGGGTAGCATTAACAATATCTTGTCTTGTACCCTTTGGAATGACAGGAAGTATTTGTCTAAAATCACCACCAAGAACAACGGTTTTTCCTCCAAAAGGACGATCTACATTGGATGCATCTTTAAATCTAAGAATATCTCTTAGAGTTCTGTCTAGAGCTTCAAAACAATGTCTATGCATCATTGGTGCTTCATCCCAAATAATTAACTTTGCCTTGAAAATCAATTTTGATAAAGGAGTACCTTGTTTGATATTACATGTTGAATCTTCAGTTGCATTTAGTGGGATTGCAAATCTAGAATGCGCTGTCCGACCTCCTGGTAACAAAAGAGACGCAATTCCGCTTGACGCAACTGTTAACACAATATCTCCTTTACATCTAATGGCAGATGACTAAGTCCTCCAAATAAAGGTTTTACCGGTTCCTCCATGACCATATAAAAAGAAAAAACCACCTTTATCGCCATTTACTGATTTCATAATTCTCTCATAGACTAACTTTTTGCTCAGTTGTCAATTTAACCAATAATTCTTCATGTTCTTTAGACAAAGAGCACCTATTATAACGCAGTTCTTCACATATTAGTCTATTGGTGTTGTCAACTTCTTCTTCAGTGAAAACCGGTGTTGGCATTGTTGGAAATTCATATAACGTTTTTCCGCAACCTTTCAACAAATTATCCAACTTTTGTAGACAACGATTTTTTAGTTCATCGTCTGTTAGCTCAGCCTCTAAAATAAAAAAATATATAATAAATTAATTACTAATAAAAAAATATAGTTGGCATGACACATATAAAGATAAGAAAAATTTTATTTTATGTATAAATATTAAAAGAAAATTATTGCTACTTTATTTAATTAGAAGGTGACATCATTTTGTTTAAATAATAAAATTTAAAAAATTAATTGTTAATACGTATTTAGCGGAAATGAAAATCGTATAATTTTGTAACATATTTATTTGTATTGAAGAAAAGCATAACAATATTAAAACAATTTTATAAAAATAAAATCTTAAGAATATAGATTAATTGTATACCTGGATTATCCATAATTCTTCTTTCTTCATGTAAAATATCATCTGATAATGAAATCCAAGTTGCCTCCCAAACACATTCTGGTCGTGCCATCGAATTGGATAATAATAACATAACAAATAATTGCCTAAGATATGATGGCATACCCCAGTTACTTGCCTCCTTTATGTAATGACCCGACCCGTCATTTATTGTATTTCAATCCCGTAATCCCCTTTGCATGTTTACCCGTATGTTATGTTGCGTGTTTGATGAGTTCGGAGTGGTTCGGATGGGATTTAGATAGAAATGAGACACTTAGTCTCTTATTGAAAGGCTTAAGTTGAAAGAGATGACCCAAAGTTGACTTTTGGGTTAGAGAGCTCGGAACGGATTTCCGATGGCTCGACTAGTTTCGGGGGATGATTTGTGACCTGTGTGCGAAATCGGAAGTGAAATCGGAGGTCCGGAGTGAAAATTAGATAGTTTTGCCGAAGTTGGAATTTCGGGAGAATCCGGTTGATAGGCGAGAATTTGATCCGGGGGTCGGAATGAAATTCCGACAGTTGCATTAGTTCCGTTAGGTGATTTTGGATATGTTTGCAAATTTTCAGGTCATTCGGAGGTGTCTAAGTCGGGTTTTTGACCGGTTAAGGAATTTGAAAGTTAAAGTTCATTGAGATTTTGAATTATTGAATTTTGATGATTTTTGATGTTTACGATGTCGTTTTCATGGCTCGAGCAAGTTTGAATGAAGTATTAGGTTGAGTTTGTGCCTTTGGTTGAGGTCCCGGGGGCCTCGGGGTGATTTCGGGTGTTGAACGGATCATTTTTTGGAACTTGTTAATTGCTGGAATCTGCAGCAGGTGTTGCAGCACTATGCGATCGCAGGGGTGTTATGCGATCGCATAGGAGGTTTTGTGAGGAGAGGTAAGNTGGGGTGTTATGCGATCGCATGGGGTGTTATGCGATCGCATAGGAGGTTTTGTGAGGAGAGGTAAGTTGTTCTATGCGAATGCACTAGGCTTGTGCGAACGCATAGAAGAAGCTGAGTCCTGGGAGGAAATGTGCTATGCGATCGCAGTTGGTGTATGCGATCGCATAGGTCTGTGAAGTTGGGCTGAGATGGCATGCTATGCGATCGCAAGGTTTATACGCGATCGCATTGAAGGATCAGAGAGGCTTAGCTGGTAAAGCTATGCGATCGCATGGGCTGTGTGCGATCGCATTGAGGAAATGATAGCCTGGTTCAGTGTGCTCTATGCGATCGCATAGAGGTGTTGCGATCGCATAGAAGGAAGCGTCAGTGATTAATGAATTAAAACATAACAGTGCATCCGCGAGCCCCATTTATTTTCTCCATTGTTGAGCGACCTTGAGAGCTAGGAGACGAGTTTTGAAGGGGTTTTCACCGGGTAATCATCGGAGGTAAGTCTCGGAACCCTATAACGTCATTTTATTGAAGAATTTCACCTTAAATCTCTGAAAATGGTGAATTAGAGGAAGGCCTAGGGCTTGATTTTTGGAAACTAAAATTGATGATTTGGAGGAGCAATTGGACTCCGATTTTGATAAATTTTATATGTATAGACTCGTGGCGAGACGAGGGTCATTTTGGTATGAAAAATTCTGGAATTCGAGACGTGGGCCCGGGGCTCGGGTTTTGTGATTTTCGCGAATTGTGTTGTTTTTCGAGTTCTATTGATTGGGCTATGTTCCATTAGCATTATGTAATGGATTGCTATGATTTTTGGGCAGATTCATCGCTCGGAGGCGTGGATTTGAAAGGAAAGGGCATTTTGGACTAGTTTTCGGCCGGTTCGAGGTGAGTAATGGTTGTATGTGATTGCCTGAGGGTTTGAAACCCCGGTAATTCACCTTGTGATGCTATAGTGATGATGAGACACGCACTCCATGGTTAGTGCGGGGTCGTGTGAGATGAAAATGGTGACTCGGCTTAGTCCGAGAGATAAACTATGTTATATTATAATAGCATCTGTCATGCTTATTACACTGATGATACGTATATGGGCTTAATGCCATGATTGGGGCC